GAAAGTAGTCTTCACTGTAAGAGTGTAATAAGCCCTACACTCTTGTTGATTCCACAGAAATCGCCAATAAATTTTTAAACATTGTCATGCCACAGTCTGTATAAAATTTTCACTACAACAAGATGAATAAGTTTAATCGTCCTAGCAGTTAAATTAACTGAAAACAGACTTCTAGCTAAAGTTGTCTCGTCCTACTTCAGAACTACAGTGCGCACTACGACTTTGATCCAACAGCCTTTGTTTGCTAGAATTGGAATAGTTGAGAACAAAGTGGCGAAAGGGTGTGCAACGCATGGGAGTTTGCCGAACAGATCTCGAAATCAAAAGCGTTTGTTTGATGAGCATGACTCTCACTTTCCGAAAAGTCAAATAATTAGAACTTTGACTAAATTTATATAAAAGAATATTCATAATACAAAATAAGTATTATTAGATTAGTTATAGAGTATATTTTCATAATAAATTTATTTGGAGGTATAAATGCTAATATCATTTTCAATAGACTTGGTCAAACTTGAGCTAATTTGGCCGATACAAATCTTATAATTGCATTTATTTTGTGGATGGAGGGAGTATTAGGTAGTTGATCATGTAAAGTTTGACAGAATAACTAGCGCACGGACGTCCGGCCTCAGGCCCGCATCCGGACGCAGCTCCACTGCACCCTGTCCCGTCCCCCGCGTAATAGAGCGTTCGCCGTGCCTGCGTAATAGGGGAGCCCGCCCACTCGCCACGCCAGCAAGGGGTCTCAACCTTTGTCGCGCTCACATCACCTCCATAGCCAGGGTCTGCATCTTCGTTGCACGGGGAGATGCCACGAGCTTCAGCTCTAGGACCTCCGACGGGGCTAGCGGAGGCAGCATGTCGTACGGGAACGAGCCGCGTGCGCTAGCGCGGACGCCGGGGGAGCGCTGCCCCTAGCTTACAGCCGACGCCGCCATGGCTCCCGCACTAGCTCTCTCCCCCTCGCTAAACAACCGAACATTGAGATCTACTTTTGCAACACTGAGATGAAACAATTGCAACATACAAATAAAACAGATGACACATTTGGAACATATACTTGCAACATAGTCATTGTAACATGCAACATCTAGACAGAACACTTGCAACGTACGTCTGAAACAGATGAAACATATGGAACATGTTGTTGCAACATATGTGTGAAACATATGCAAACATCTAGATCAAAACGCTTGCAACATACGTCTGGAACAGATAAATATTTTAGATGAAACATATGGAATATGTTGTTGCAACATATGTGTGAAACATATGCAAACATCCAGATCAAAACGTTTGCAACATACGTCTGGAACAGATGAAACATTTTAACCTTGCAACATGTCTTTGAAACACTTGCAATATATGCAACATCCCTGATCTACTTTTACAACATCCATAAGAAACAACTGCAACATACCTTTAAAACGACTGAAACACCTGAAATATACATTTGCAACATAGGGGAAGGGAAGCCTGGGCTGGTCGATTTCAGCCGTCGAGTCGGAATCGCCAGCGAGTGGCGGAGCACGACCACCACCAGCAGCCAGCGCCAGCCTTGGCCAAAGCAAGGAGCGAGGTGCGGGTGGGGCGCGTGGCAAACGGAGGAGAGGAGTGAGGAGCAAGCGGCGCAGGTGGTGCGCGCGACGATGCGGGATTGAGCGAGCGGCGTAGGGTCAGGACGCAGTGGGAGAAGGCCGAGCGGAGTGAGCGAGCGGTGTTCGGATGAGAATAAGAGACAGAGGAGTCAAAGTCATGGTGCACGTCACATCACGCGTCCGTCCAGAGGGAGGCGCTGGCATTGGACGTCCTATTTGTAGCATTATCGAAAGTTTGACCAAGCCATGCTTCTTATTGTTTGACTTATGTAGCCTCCTGCCATTAGTGGCAAGTGCTTTACTCGGATCCTTGCACATGGAGAGCTAATTTTTCAACAAAAGTAAGTAGGACATGGCATTTGGAATGAAAACTACTTATTTGGACATCTATACAACTATAAACGCCCATTTAACATGTTTAGTAGTACATAAAAATAAACAATACTTCCTCCGTCTTAAAATATAGCTAACTCGCACATTGCCTAAATTAATCCTTTCTAATTTTGATCAGGTTTTATAATGGGAAAAGTCCAAAGTAGCTCCTTCATGTTTAATTTGACCTGTCTAGATAAACCCTAGAACAATGTTTGGTTCAATTTTCTATCCTGAGTATTTTTTATGGTCTAATTTACACCTTAAACCATTTTGTCTTTTTTATTCTCCACATACAAGTTGTGTTTTAAATTGAAATTATGTGAGATAATAAAAAAGCATCATGTTTTGTGTTAGAAAACTATGTACATTATAATTTTTTGTCATTATATTTTGTTCAATTTTGTATGTATAATGTAATTCATTTTTAAATTACCTAACCTATCAAAGTAACGAGGAAAATTTTAAGATATATTTTCTAACATAAAGTATAATATCCTTTTTTTAATCATATAATATCCTATTTTTAACATAAAGTATAATATCCTATGTCACCTCACATTAGTTTATATGTGGAGAAAAAAGTATTCATTCTTAAAGGGTAAACTAAACCATCTGAAATCGTGGGGGATTAAATTGAACTAAACATTAGTTTAGGGGTTATCTAGACATATGTCAAACTTGGATGTAGTAATTTGGACTTTTTCGTAATAAAAATACTCCCTCCATTTCAGATTATAAGACGTCTTGAATTGTTCTAGATATGTAGCTTTTGCTATGCACATAGATATACGCTATGTCGAGATACTTAATAAAAGCAATATATCTTAAAAAGTTAAAACATCTTATAATTTGGAAATGAGAGAGTATATTGGCGTGTACAAGCTCAAATAATCACACCATTGAAACATGAACCGTGGTGAATTTTATTAGATTTTGTAAATTTTGACCTGTTTTTTGTAGACTTGGTCAAATCTTTTTGAATTGTATTGCACATACGTAGATGACCACACAAACACTTGCATACACTTCTTCTACAAACACATACACGAAAATCTAACCAAGTTTGACTTGAAATAAAGTCAAAATAAACTGTAATTTGAATGGATAGAATACTATAGTTCAATATTATGGTGAAAAATAGACTATGTGGATGGATTTTCGTCGTCGAAAGCAACATATGCATTTCTGTTAAAAAAAAATTGCTTCTATGTATCGTACGTACGGTACGGCGGGGCGGCAGTGGAGAGTGGAACCGAAGGGTAGATGCGGGTGAGCCGGAGAGTACGCCAAGTGAGCTGGAGCCTCTCTCCACAGCGCAGCGCAGCCCACATTGAATGGCCTCTGAGCAACACCGCGTGAGGTGGGCACCCACCCTACCCGACCCTCGATCGCAGCGCAGCGCAGGAGAGCTCGGGCTGCCAACCTAGCTGCCAGGGCTAGGCCGCCAGCCAGCCGGCCCGGCCCGCCCGGCCAGCATTTACTGCGTTCATGCCTCCCTCGCGTCGCCCAACGGCGCCACCGCCGCCGGCCGGCAAGCCCGGCCCCGCGCCCACCACCTCCGGACCGGACCTGGCCACGGGATTCGAGCTATCTCCATCCGTCTCCCTCCCCGACGGCGTTCGTACGATACGGTACGGGCTATGCGCCTATGACGCCTAGGCTAGGTTCGGTAGCATCAAGAGAATGGGCCGGGGCAAATGGGCAATGGCCACTTCGACTCCAAATAACAACGTGTAACAAAGCAACTTTAACCATAATTTTTTGTTTCAAATGTTTTTTTCTGAAAGCACGTGAAATTTGCGAAACAGATTTTGTCGGTACAGATTTAGCCCTTGTTTAGATACCAAAAAATTTGGCAAAATGCACTGTAGCGGTTTTCGTTGTTATTTAGCAATTAGTGTTCAATCATAGTCTAATTAGGCTTAAAAGATTCGTCTCGTGGATTTCGTCTACACTGTATAATTAGTTTTATTTTTTAATTATATTTAATGCTTCATGCATACGTCCAAAGATTCGATGTGACGGAGAATCTTAAAAAATTTGGCAAAATTTTAGAAACTAAACTGGCTCTTACTCGTGTGATCGTCAAAAGGTCCTGATATCGTACTCCTATATATATACGAGACGAGCCATATAGATAGATCGACCTGAAACGTGCCAACCACTGTGTACCACCTAGCTAGCTAGCTGCAATGGTAAACGTCAAATAATACTGTAGTACTTACCACAGGAACAAGCCAAAAAGTTCGTCTGATTACGAGGTTCCCCAAACTTTCGTGGATGGCGTTGACTCAGTTTGAAACACAAGCTGCGCTTTGAAACGTTCGTTCCATGCGTCTGTGCGGAGACGTGCATGGACTTCAACCGAATCACTTTAATAAGCGGCGTGATCATGATCCATCGACCACCGGTGGTAGTCCGGTTATCCTGGACTACTGCCTCCTGGTAGTGTCAAGCGAGCTCATAAATGAGTGGAAGAAGGAGAATGGCACTGCCCTCTTTCCCAAAGGTACATTTTTTTTAGTAGTCAAACATTTTTAAATAAATTTAAGCAAATATCTATAAAAATAATAACATTTATGATATCAAATAATACCATTAGATTAACAATGGAATATATGGTATCAATTCGGAATCATAAATATTACTAATATTTTCTATAAGCTTAGTTAAAATTATAAAAGTTTGACTCAATCCAAGTCCAAAATTACATCATCTGGAGACGGAGGAGGTAGCACTGGTTAAACAATCGAGTTTACAAATTGCTCTTGTCCCGTACAAGACCACCCTTCTTGGGAATCTACAGGTAGACGAGATACAGATAGACATACCGCCTCAAACTTTGCATCGTGGCGGCTTCAGATGGCATATTCCTGTGAAATAATAACTTCAGATGAGATGAAACACTGACACCAAATGGTAAGGTAACAAAGCAAAGCAATGCAGTGCGTGCAGATCATGCACGGCGATGCTGCAGTGCCAGAGAACCCTTCCTTCCCGCGACAACGGCGACGGACGGCCACGTCACACCCTTGACCCTCCTGCACGCCATAGCACACCAGACCAGACTCGGTCACGCACCATGCCGCCCGTAACAATCAACAAACACCCCTGGTCAAGAAGGAACACACTGGCATCTGCAGAAAGCTGCCGTCTTCCAACCAATCGGGACCCCAATGACGCCTTTCGGCCTCCAGATTTGTTCGCAAATTCAGTTCATCAGTTGCTTCACAGTTCACCCTCTCTCCAGATCTCCAGTACGCGCGGGCGCACACGCGCCATCTAGAACCTCAGCCCACCCGAACGTGCTTCACAAGATCGCCTGCATGCCCAGTGCCAGTGACACCCGGCTTCTCCTCTCCTCCGTCTCAATTCAGTTCAAAGGACACTGCACGCCCGCCCGCCCGCCCGCCTGCCTGCGCGCGATGGGGGGCTCACTGTCACTGGTCACTGTCAACATTGCATCAACCTTCGGGCATGTGTGCATGGACCCATACTGACCATCTGAGCACCGAGACAAGCGCACATTTACAATGTAGGGTCCGGTCCAGCTGCACTCGTCGGAGTCGGACCAAGAGTCCTTGTGCGAGGGTTCCTTCCTTCTCTCTGCACAAGAAGATGGGAAGGAAGCATGAGAGTGTTGATCATTCCAATCGCCTCTAGTTTATGAGAGTGAACTGCTAGCTTCTCAACTAAGCTGGGTTAGGTGCTTAGTGTACCTAGCAATCGGATTTCAGTTTCAACAATAATACAGTACTGCCGCCTGATAACCAGGTTTCGCTATCACGGTCAAATATGTGCACTCAATGTCAAACAAAGAAATGAGCGCCAGAAAGCTAGACGGGACTATGATCTGACTAATGGTATCATCTTTAGGCTTCGTTTGGAAGGAACTAGAATTTTATTTTGTCAAAGAACAGAATCAAAAGTGCTTACTTGTTGGTTTCTGGTGGAGTGTTGTTATGAGGTCTTGTGATCTTCCTTTTTTTTTCCCCATTCCTCTTGTTCAGTGCAGCACGGGCCATGCTTCCCAAGTCCTTCTCCTTCCCACCACCCATAGCTGCCTTTCCTTGGATTCAAGCTCCCTGAGCAAATATTTTCTACAAGTCCTGTCAACACAAACGAAACTCCTTCACGAGCCATAATAACTGACATCAGTTGCATAATTTATTGGACTTCTTAACTTCAACGTCTTACGAGAGTTAAAAGGACTGCCTCACAGATTGCCATTGTACGGATAACATCAGAATTAAACTGATGTGGGGGGTACAAAAACTTAAAGCCCCTGATTGTAGAAAGTGATGGCTAATCAATAGACCCGAGTACTAAGTTGCTACACGGGAAACCCATCAATGGTTTAGAATAAAATGGACCAAGATTTATTACAAGCAGCATTACAGGAATTGATTGGGTGAAGGTCAACTTTTAGAGTAATTTGCAGACAGCTGTATTCCACACAACATGCTTTCTTGGTCATCTTTGCTGATCACAATACCTATATTCATATAAACTCCATAATTTAGATCTGTTTGTTTAGTCCAAGGAAAGGAGTCTGTCCTTCATATGTTCTACTGATTAGTGATTACAACATTACAGATATGTAGTATATGCATACGGTTGGTTATATCCATTAGTATGTCTAGTCTACTTGCTTAACATAGCTGCCTATGTTGACTAATTTCAATGTGCTAGTTTCAAATATTTTCATACCTATATGAAATCCATCTGGAGTGGGACCACTCATTGCCACCGTCCATGGAGTGATGGAGGGCCTACAGGGATTGTTATGATATAGGTGACATAATGTAATTACTTACAACTCAATGATACAATCTTATGAAGTTATGATTCAATTTACACTTGTGGCTCTAATCTATGCCGTAGAATCTATGTATATGTACAGTTTTAGTGTGTGGAGAAAGATATTCGCACTTAGCAAGCATAACACAACCATACAATTGTAGGCAACAGATACATTTCAGATACCATGTAAGGAGCATCGATGGAACGTATCTAAATCAACAAGCAACACTCATCAACAAGAAAACCATACCACCTATGAATATCACAAATGTCTACTATGCATAATCCTAGAAAGGCAGGCATTTGCAATACAACTATATTTCTCTATATTTCCCTCTTTTTATTGCATGATAACTCATGCAGCTGGTTCTTCAATTTCTGCAAACAGTGATGGAAATTTCCAGGAGAGACCACTAAGTGTGAGGTAGGCTAGGCACGCCAGTCTCTTAGATAGAGAAACCTCTAACCAACCCTAGCTTTACGCCATGATGATGGTGATACCTACCGCTCATGAGTGCAACTTGCTCCAAACGATAAGTATTTCCTACCAAGAATTGAAATATTCAATGATGAAGGAGAACAATAAATATAGAAAGTGAAACTTGCACCTTTCTCCATCCACCAGCACACCATGGCTTCTTCCTTCCCACATGGTTAACCCATGGATGTAGTGCATGACACGTAACTTCTAATTATCGCGCATGTATTCTTCTTTCCTTCATCGAAATTCGAAAATGAATACAGACTACTGCAGGAACTGTTGTGAGACCCATAACCAGGAATTGTCAATCCTAAATCCAGTTTAACAATTCTCTCTTTGCATGCAAACTATATTTACTGCTATGTGTCACCATTACAATAAATAAATACTACACAACGGATTGTTGTACACTGCAGAAACCACCATTGCGTAAAGCTAAGACTACAGGTTTATCGAACAAACATTTTTTAGAAGTTTTGTGGCATTGAAACATCCTTTCCATGATATCATCTTACCATGACTGATCAATCTGATTAGATGAAATGGGTACAAGAATTGCTTCCCAAGCCAAACAAAAATTAAACTTGAACAGTTGTGCTATCAATAATGTCACATTGACGTTGACATGTGGAACTCACTTGATTGTATTATTGTTCTGGCTGAAGTAGAAATGTCAATTATAATTTCTTCCAGAAACAGAATGGTATTGATATTAGAGTTCCTGCAGTTATTACAGTATGCCCTAGAGAGAAGGTTCTAGCAGCAACACATTATGACTTATGCCCCGTGTCTCACTCCTAGAGTTTTGGGGGATCAACCACTTTACTGCACCTTTTCACATTAGTATAGGTATTAATAAGGCCCTCTCTGGGCGCGCACTCTTTGCCTCCCTTTAAGGAATGGTATAGGATTCCAAGTCTGTGCTTAAATGTTTGATGTAATAGTCAAAGGCAGCAGTCTTAAAGAGAGTCCTAACAAAAGGCTGGCATGATGATTAATTTCACTTGGCAGTATTTATAGGGGTTGGGCCCATGTTTGTTTTCTTAAGCACAAGCACAAACAGAAATTTCCCCCTTTTGATCATCATCCTTTAAAGCAAAATCAACATGACACTTGAATGCCAGCAAACATTTGTTTTAGTGCCATAAATATACTCTAGGCATCATTGTCGTATTCCCTTCTAATCCATTGTTGAATTAAACAACCACATAACTCCAACACTGTTTCAACTATCCAAATCAACACTAAGTTGCCAATTAATCCAAAGGTTTATCAGCATTAGCAAAGACAAATATTGAGTTTATATGAACTAAACCAATCAGCATTTGGAGTTGCAGAAGTTAGGCTGGAAAGGAAAACCAATGTTCACTGTTCACTTGTTCAGGTGCTAACCTGCTATCTAAAACTTGTATATCTTTGGATCTTGGAATTTCCCTTTCCAGTCAAGTGAGTTCTCTTTCTCTTTATTCCACAAAAAACATAATTAAAATAATTGTTCTGCCAAGAATAGTAAAAAGAGATAAATCTACCTCGTAAGATATGAAGGAAATTTAAAAGAAGATTTACTACAATGAAAATTACTCCGAACTATATTCATGACTTCCAAGCGTACAGAAACAATCACTGCAATTTTTCAAGAAATGAAAGGCATCTCTTCTGAAGTATCCCTTTCATATTGCTACAAGTGATTCTAGCATTCTACTTTTGGAGCTTATATCCTACCCTTTCACATCACACTCTTTCCACATCCACAAACCCCAAATAAGTATCAACTAATTGTGACAATATGTCTACAATAATGAATTTTCACATGCCAAGGCAGTCTAGGTTAAACTTCAGTAATTTCATCACTCATCTTAACTCTGGTGTCTTGCACTGATACAGAATAATAAAAGACGAAAGAATAGAAAATGTTTGCTGAAGAGACAATAACAAGGTAGGGGCACTAGAAAACAATCTAATATTAAGTCAGTAAACATGCAGAAGCTTTCCAACTGGGCCAGATGCCCCAAAATTCTTATCAATTTCATCCACGAAAAGATCATCTTCATTTTGAATATAGAATGAGCAACAGTCAACTTAACCAGGATCCAGGCAAAACCTGATCATTTGCAACGTAATGATTTGATCAAACACTTCTGCATTGCACAAAGATTCGACCCTAGAAAACTCTAGATTGGGGCCTATAGAGAAGCGGTGACAACCAAACAAAATACAGCATAATAACGCATGCATTTATGTAGCATTGGTGGCTCCATGCTGGCCTGGGAAGTGGATTTATACCTTGTCTTGAATAGTGGACCAGCTACCTCCAGAATGGGGTCAGAGAGCACCTCCAATGGTCCCTAGAGACTTATTTCTGCTGCATTCACTGCTCTTTTCTTACAGCCTGCACCAGTGTAGTACTGAAAGTTAACACAGGACAGATAGTATACCGAATGCATACATCAAATCATTTGACTTACAATCAGCAAGGCAGTAACCACGTAAAGAAAGAATTTTAGATGGAAATCACAGGAACATGTCAGCAATGAATATACAATGTTCTGTAGGATTTATCTTGTTCTTTGGCTCTCTTTTCTTTTGCATAATGTATCTCTACATTTCAGCAGATAATATTCCTTAATATTTAGAAAGAAGCAAATGATTAGAATAAGGAATCACATTGTCTCGAGCTGCTGTACATATTATACAAGGATAATACGTCAAGAATGATAATAAAAGACAATGTTCAGCTTAAGTAGGAACAACTAGAAGTTAGCAGGTAAAACCATATATTAAGCCCATAGCATGAACACAAATTTGCATAGATATACATAGATTATTTGTATTGATGTATTCTCCATGGTTGACACTTGTTTGCAACATCAATTTCTCATTCCAACTTCCTAGGAATAACTCACTCTGCTTTCTATATCAGCCTTTGCTTTCTCATTCCAACTTCCTAGGAATAACTCACCCTGTTTCTATATCAACCTTTGCTTTCTCATTCCAACTTCCTAGGAATAACTCACCCTGTTTCTATATCAGCCTTTGCTTCCATCCAGAGTCACTATATTTCAATTATTGGTGAAAAGTTTAGCTTAATAACAACAGATACATATATGTAAGAATTGGTACTCTATAAGAATCTTTATTACCATTATATTTGAATATTATATTCAAGAAAGAGAAAACGTACTTTTGGCAGAAAAATGTAAATGAATGCAATGTACTGAACAGCATGCTATAGATCGACACCTGAAACAGTTTATTAAATAGTACAAAACACAGAAATTTAACGCCAATACATGGTACGTAGGGGAGGAGGGGGGGTCCGAACTGTTTAATAAACTTGACAAAGCAAAGCTACTTCCTCCAGAACATCTGTGGCCTCTATTCATGAATACAATAAATTAGAATCTTTTTCCAGCAGACATGAATGAGTGGAAGCACGGAATAACCAAGTAGACATTGCACCAATGAAACAATGCTATTGTGGCTTCATTTTGTACAGGTGCACAAAATATGCATGACAATCTGCGAGTCAGTCACTGAAAAAATAGTTTGCATGACTAAATTGATATGGAGACGATATCTACCTATTCTTTGTTCCGCTCTGACATGCACTTTGCAAAGTAGATGTAGTTCTCAACAAAATTCCAGTTGGCTGATTTTGATACCTTTTTAAATATCTGATCAATAACCTTTAGATAAACCTGCAAGGTACTGCCTACGCTGACTTATACTCACTTAAAAAATACCTATTTTCCCAGTTCTTCTTTGGAACAATCA